CTTCGCCCCAGTTGTAACCCCGCCCCCAGTAGCCAAATCAGTCAGTTTCACTGGTTACATCACCTTGCTGTGAGTAAGACGGCTTGAAATGTGCTTGGATCCAATGTCATGCAGTCGTATTTATTCAGCTTTTATTTCTTGTGTACTTGCATACTGGTATTAGTTTAGTCCCACAATCTGCGATAAAATGATCCGCTGTAGCAGCTACTCCACTTTTATGTTTATGTATCTATGTCATTCGGATCTTCCCAAGTTGTACAATGTACTGTTGAGATACCGAATTCAAATAAATCAATACCAAAAATACCATACCATCCATACAAAAACTGGATCCAAGTGGATCCAATTTTTGAATTTTTGAAATTGTTGCTATGCTGTGACGTAGCACTTTCAAGCCCTATTAAACTTCGCATGCAAAAGTCAAAGGATATCGCCGAATTGTTGTCATAAATTCAAAATTTCACCCAAAATGCAAGGAAAATTCGCTTTGCTGCCATGGTAACCAATATGGTGCCAGAATTTGCCATAAATTTTATGACTACACGAATGAGGGAGTCGTAAAAAAATACCGGTTTTTAACGACTCCCTGGCATGAATTTATCGTACTGCATAGCATGCGCGTAAGCCTGTAGATATCTACGAAGAGCATCCATGATAACCCCAGGGGTTATGTACTCTTGCCTGTAGATCTACACTTAGACAGGTGCATGCACAATAATAGCCCAGTTATTAGCATTAAAAAGTAAAAAATACGCTCGGTATCTGTTCTTGCTACTGTGCTCTATGGCTGCCAGACCTGGACCATCTCTAGGGGTAAGCGGTATATGCTCTGGAAATGAGCAGATTATGCTCTAACGGATGTTTGCAGAATGCTCGAGAAAACAGCCAATTATGCTTTTATACGCTTCACTAGAAAGACCAAAAGAACATAATTATAATCGTCATGAATAAAGGACTCAGACCATTCTCATGATGTGGACTGGGAGCTTTGTGGAAGTACAGGACAATAATAATTATGCAAGAGGAATACCAAATTCACAACCAAACACTGACCTTTTTTTATCATTCCAAATCAACATAGTCGTATGTTCCTCTTGACTGGATTACACAGAACGGATATTATTATATGATGCCATTTGATTTATGTTTTTGGCAGAACATTCTATTTCCGGCATATGCGAATATGTGGGTTGCCATTGTGCGGTTGACATTGCCGCGGAAATGCATATACCGGTACTTGAAGTAATAATAATAATAATCTGTCCCTGCGGGAATTTGCGGAAAAAATCCTCGGAAACTTGTGCAAGAAATTGCGGTGGAAAACAACAAAAAATGCGGCGAAAAGTTAGGAACTATTGGCAGAAAATTGCGGATTTGGGCCAAGTCACGAAATTTGTTGTATCCTTAGAATCGCTATTTGCGTACTGTGGAAATAACCTACAAGCAGGATCATGGAAAGCACTGTATACTGCGTGAAAAGTGCAGAAAAATGTTAAAAGAAGTGCAGAAAACAACAAAAACGCGGGAAATCGCGGATTTTTCAGAAAATCGCGGGTTTAAGCCAAAATCGCGAAATTTGTTGCGTCCATGGAATCGTGATTTCCAGGAGGGACAGAATAATAATAATATTAGGGAGGTTCCGGAGTACGATTTTTCGTGCCAAAATCCGTGGAGGCTCTACGGATTTTTTATACGTCGTTTTCGAGCAGTGAAAAGTTCCGGGGTACGGAACTTATGTGTTTGCCGTCATTGCCTAGGTTACGATCGCAAACACGTCACATTCCCGCGCTATGCCTTTTTATTTTGAAAATTTGTACCGAAATCAAAACTTCCCGCGAAAAATCTGTCTCATCCGAAGTGATCCCATGTATCATTAATGTGCCTCCCTTTCTTTTTCTCTCCCTATCTCCTTTCCCTCTCTGACAGCATCTTTTTTTTTTTCTTTTTTTTCCCTTTTAGCTTGCCGTGGTTGGCTATCACCTGACCTCTCATGTTTATTGGCAGTCTTCGGACGGGCCAGGAGATGTTGAATAAATAAAAATCGATGTTTCTCGTACCAAATTTGTACGCGAAAAATCTTTCTGCACCCGATGGGCGATGGCGCAAAATCTCCATACGAAATATGGTTCGTATGAAAACCAGTCCACACGGATTCTCCGTGCCGAAAAATCGTATGGAGCACGCCTGGAAAAAATCCGTAGCGCCCATACGGATTTTAGCACGGAAAATCGTACCCCGGAACCTCTCTAATAATAATAATAATCACTTGCCAATAACAAAGACAACAATAATACCATCAGCCGCCATTCACCGGTTTTGACGGTGCTTCACTGATGTTGAATGAGAAGAATTATACTGCTGCCTTCAGTGCTATTGTGTCGCTGAAGGGCTCGATTTCAGATTTGATGACGGTTACTTTTCAACGGATTTTGTTTTCTGATTTAACTCTCTTGCTATTACTGTACCTGCTTGTGTTAAGTCTCATTCTCGCAGATTAGTTGTATAATAGATTGTACATGCATCATTGTAGATTTGCTGTTCACAGTATTTCTCTCTTTTTTCTTTCTTTTTTTCTCAGTCTCCCTTATTATATTTTCTTCACATACAACAGCAGTACTCCCCATGGTCTTAAATGACCCAGGATGCTGCATAATACAAACACAAAACCAATAAAGCCACCCCCATAATAATAATAATAATAATAATAATAATCTTCACTAGTTTGAGGGAAAGAGACAAACGGGAAAAGTCTGAAGAAAAAATTGACTGTCACCACCAGGACTCGAACCAGGGACCCTCGCTTGTAGCTAGCGATGCTCTAACCACTGAGCTATGGTGTAATAATAATAATAATAATAATCGACAAGAAGCGCAACGTACATGTATGGTCCTTGAATAGCAGGTGTGTATATATAACAGCCTCATTGAGCATCTGCCCTTGTTTTTCGGATGCCATTTTATGCCCCTTCTCAAAAGGACCTGATTATGCCAAAAAGTATGCCTTCACTAGCAGGTGTGTATAACAGCCTCATTGAGCATCTGCCCTTGTTTTTCGGATGTCATTTTATGCTCATTCTCAAAAAGGACCTGATTTTGCCAAAAGTTTTGCCGGAATAATCCGCTTACCCCTAGCCATCTCACAAGCTATCATAAAATTAGAGCTTTGAGCTCAGGTATCTGCGTAAGTTGCTTGGCATCAAATACTATCATCATCGCACAAATCAGTCAGTACTGCAGGAAGTCAAAAAATGATATTGGCCCATTCACACGCCTTGATTCAACTTTAAAAGCATATCAAGTTGAAGTGGTTTGGACATGCGGCTAGGCATCATGATAGCTATTTCTTGGATGGAATGGTGCCGGGATCAAGAAAGACCCCGTGGTCACAATCAATTCGGTTCACCAGCATCAAAGACTGATCAATTAATCGTACAATTCTGCCTCTCTCTCTCTCTCTCTCTCTCTCTCTCTCTCTCGTTGCTGCTGATCGTGATAGGTATAGGCAGCTAGTTTATGAGTGCATTTAGATTCTCTTTTTTCTTCTTTTTATTCTTTTGGTGCTGCCGCCTTATGACACAGGTGGAGCCCCTATGGCCAGAATGGTTACGGATTCTACATACATGTACATAAAATGAACCCAATGCTGTAGACATACATTAGGCTATGACAGTAGCCAACATTCTGGTTGTATTTTGGACACAGGTTATATAAATCTCGAATGAACAGAATAAACCGTGATTGCGGCCATGTAACCGAACGACTACACTTAAAAATCGTAAAAGGGGATCACGTGGGATCCCGTACACCTCGTGCGTACTTGGACCTAGCATGGCGTGTATGCCAAGTCCATCGATTCTGGCTGGAGAATTAGCAATTCCACCCTCTCTTCAGAATTGAGGGGTGTGATGGAATTGGATTCCGTCAATTCTGACGATGGAATTTGGGTAATCGAACCGTGCATCCACCATAACTAATTCTAGAATTGACCGAAATGTGTGTAATCAAATGCGCCCATAGTCTGCATGGCAGAAACCAAAAAAAGAAAAAAGAAAAACGCCGACCGACCTTGGTACTGATAAGTGAAGTGACCCAAAACAACGAATTAATTCTGGGTGGCCTTATTATTGTAATTATAGTTTCCGTAGAGATAATGCTTTATTATCATATGCCGCCGGGATATTGTAGAAATGACTGTAGAATTGTAGTATTGAAGTACATGTAAAATAAAGATTTATATTATTATTATGATTACTATCATTACGAAGTAGTGGGTGCGACTTCGGCGATGATTATTATGATTATTATGATTATTATTTACAGTACTTAACTTCAGTTTCTTTGGTTGTATCCTTAGTTTTAGTTCCGTATTTTTCCCACTGATGATAGGAACAAGAAAATCGATTCTGGGTTTTCAATGATTAATATTATTATGATTATAATGTATACACACCATGTAGTCTACCATGTACCGTGTATACGCACGTAGCAAGAGAAGCACGCAAATCTGCAAATGCACCAGATGTGCACCCACAGGTTTTCTCTTATAGCAACGATAGCGGACAATATCTGAATGAGACAGATCAAGACTAGCGCCAGATAACTGACCAATCCACACAACCTGCAAAGCCATGTGAATCGACCACCAATGCACACCTGGTCTACACCACATGGAGTACATTGGCACACAACAGCCAAGACAGTTACCTATGCCTGAGTACTGGGAACCAAGAGCCAACGGACATACCAACAACCTCAGCCACACGCAGACAGACAGTACAATGAATTATGTAGTTTTGACGTGACTGGCCGTCTTGAGCAGACCTGTACCCTGGTATTGCACTACTGCCTGTACTAGTAATGTTTGCCCGGGTTTCGTGCAAACCAGTGCTCATACAAGGGACTGGCTGTAGTGACTGCCTGCAGCGCATCACCTGGCGGCTGCTTTCCTAAAGCACGACGTTATTATTACAAACGCAATTCTCCAAACTTCCATGGGCTCCATACGTACAATTACAACACACTGAATAAAATATCCCCGCATCCCAAAGCTTTCTAAAGGATCAGTTACAAAGCATAAAAAATAACGCTCGCAAAATCGTTTATATTATAAAGAGTTTGCGAGCATTGTGCGAGCATCCATGGAAGCATAATTCCACAATTTCGCAATCATAATTCGCCGTAGTCCACAGGTCGAACGAAGTGTCAAAATGCTGTGAAGGAAAAAACACCCAAATGTGTATGAATCTATATGAAAACTGGACCCAAAAAGTCAGCGCTGTCATGATGGGCTAGCTGCAACATAGCACTTTTGAGTCCAATAATATGGAAATAAATTAAAGTAAGAAAAGGACCAAGGAACTACGAGTTACGTTATAATGTGCACTACCATCAGTTACCTGACACTCAGCTCATGCGATAACATTGAACGACGGTACTGACGTTCTACTTTGAAGTACAAATAACTGGCTATCAGCTATAGCCCGTCTTGGATGCGCACTCCAACAGACGGAATCTGGGTCTGAGAGTCGAAACTAAAATTAAGCTTTCGCCAAAGTATGACAGAAAGGCAGAGATGTCAAAACGTTTTCAGTGATTTGATGGATACCATAGGCTCACATACTTCGAACCTGTCCATTGGCATGTGCAAACAGTGATGCAACACTCCCACTGCTGCTCGGTGTGTGGAAAAAAGGAAGAAAAACAACATCTTTCTTGCTAAGGTGCTCACTTTGCGAAGTGCACTGCATCCTGTTTACTGCTGCTTACTGCTGCTTACTGCTGCTGAAGACTGAGCCGCTCTGACTCATCTTTGGCATTGCTGCTGTGAGCAGTCTGCCCACTAGTTTTCAAACGAATACAGTCACTGCCTGGTGCAGCAGATGCGGTGTTTGCTGCTACCATGGCCACTGTTGTTGCTGCCATGGCATCTGTTGCAGTGGTTGCTGCCATGGCATCTGCTCTTGCCGCTGTGTCTGCTGCAGTGTTAGCTGCAATGGCAACTGCTCTTCCTGCCGAGTCTGTTGCAGTGATAGCTATGGCTGGCTCAGCTGCTGTATCTGCTGGTTCTGATAAATGTGCTGGGCTAGCTACTAGGCGGCCATCACCATGATCACAGGCAATATTGCACGAGCAGAATCCATATCCCTGAAACCCTCAAAGGTCTATAGTCACAATGCAGGACAGCTGCTGCATCCATCAATACAGGTCTACCGGCTGCATGGACTGGATCACGTGATATATGGCAGGTCAGTAAAGCTGTTCTCTGCAATGGACAATTCCAACAGCAACCGCTGCTCACGTACGCCAGCAGAATGCTGGCTGCTTTCTGGCTTGAGCTGCAACTGGATGTGTACAACCGTAGTATTCTGTCACACCACGGTAAGTGTAATTGTGACTTGCAAAGACGGTGCAAAATACGCAATGAAGCCATGTTCATCACTTGGAATGGTAGACGAGACGATTTGCACAGGCAAGCTGTACAGGAACAAGCAGAATTAGGCACGCACACACATGTACAAGAAACACACACACACATATACACACACATCCACGCATGTACACACACACATACACACACACACACAAACACACACACACACACACATGCACACACACACACACACACACACACACACACACACACACACACACTGTACTTGCTCACTGCCATGACTGGTCACGCGAGTCTCCCCCGAAGAGGGGAGAGAGATTCGAAAGGAATCTTGGAAAGATGACTCAATTGGCCATTGAACCGCCCAACGGCCGACAACCCCTGAAATCCCCAAAACCCTGGGTGGACTTGAAAGTGATTCCACTTATGGGCTCACCACACCTCAGTAAGTGGGTGAGGACAAGGTGCAGATAAAGGATTGACGGCATCAAGGTATCCGTCCCGGGATCCAACTGCAGTTACCCCTGCCCCCCAGTGAAGGTAATATTTGCTACTAGTGTGGGTGGTTAAATCAGAGTGGATCTGATATTAGCTTCACTAGCACCATGATTACACACACACACACACACACACACACACACACACACACATACACACATACACACACACACACATACACACACACACACACATACACACACACACATACACACACACACATACACACACACACACACACATACACACGTACACACGCGCACACACACACACACACACACACACACACACACACCTTGACCTTTGACGCCCATCGCCGGAGGCGATGATAGCAATGCTATGGCAGAAGCCATAGCAACTTGTGCTGGGATTGCACCATTCAACAGCTTGCAAGGCTGAAGAATTGACCGTCACTATTCAGCCTGGTCTACACCATACAGCTATTTGAAGTGACTTTTTCTGGCCAGTGAATCCCTCACACACACACACACACACACACACACGCGCACACACACACAGCAACCATGTGACATTACACACACAATTAAAGGAGGCCTATCGGTATTTGCTGAAATTAGAAATCATCCCACTTATTGGCTCACCACACCTCAGTAAGTGGGCGAGGGCAAGGTGCAAAAAAAGGATTGACGGCATCAGAGTATCCGTCCCGGGATTCAGCTGCAGTTACCCCTGCCCCCAGTGAAGGTAATACTTGCTACTAGTGTGCATGGGTGGCTAAATTAGAGTGGTTCTGGTAAAAGCTTCATTAGCACCATTGATTACACGAGAGTTAATCTAGCCAGAAGCAGTCCGTGCACGCACACGCGCATGCACACACACACACACACACACACACACACACATGCACGCGCGTGCACACACACAGAGCGCCAAGTGCGCACTCTGGGTAGGATTTCACCGAGCTCAACTGTGTATATGCATACATGCACATGCACGCACGCACGTCCACACACGCACGCACGCATACACGCATACACGCTGCTGCTGCTGCTGCTGCTCCTGCTGCTGCTCCTGCTGCTGCTCCTGCTGCTGCTCCTGCTGCTGCTCCTGCTGCTGCTCCTGCTGCTGCTCCTGCTGCTGCTCCTGCTGCTGCTCCTGCTGCTGCTCCTGCTGCTCCTGCTCCTACTGCTGCTGCTGCTGCTACTGCTACTGCTACTGCTACTGCTACTACTACTACTACTACTACTACTACTACTACTACTACTACTACTACTACTACTACTATGTACAACTGCCACAAAATGGCCACGTCGCTCCCAGAAGCGGGAGACAACAGCGAGAAAGGAAAAGAAACAAGGAGAGTAATTGGGGTGAAAGGGGACCGTTCTACACACCGCTAGTGTTTCTGTCTTCGGTGGCGGGTGAGGTCCTGCGGGCGGGAGAATCGTTTGCTACATAGGATGCATTGAATGGGCAGATTAGTCCTCTGGTCCTTTCGCAGTCGTTTGCCTCGAGTACAATTATGGCGGTTAAAACCAGCCTGACTCTTCATGCAGCGATCACAGGTCGAGCAATGGTGCTGGCAGCAGTCCAAATTCAGGCTGCATCTCGTTGAAACAGCTGGTATTTCGTCCAATGTCTGACGCTCCACACAACGATGAACTGCAAAACAGCCAGCGCTTTGAAACCAGCGGTCACAAACTCCACAGTGACGGGCCCCAGGCTGCTGGACGGGCCCCAGGCTGCTGGGCAACAGGTAAGGACCGTACAGCTGAGCACTTGTGACGGTGAATCCCACGAGCAGTGAATGATCGGTTGCAAACCTTGCAGGTGACTTTGTTGTTGATGCACTCCACGAGATCATCCGGAGTCTTTGCAATTGCCTCGCGCCATGCTGGGCGATCCTGGGCCAAAGTGAGCCAATTCACTATGCCACCGAAACGAAGATCACGTGCGACGAGGTCTTTCCATCGCAGTCGTGGCCCACAGGCTGGGCGTGGATCTGAGAAGAAGCTAAACAGTATCAGCTTCAGAAGCCGGTTATCTGGCATTCTGGCGACATGCCCAAGCCACTGCAGACGGCGGTGTCTGACGGTATCAGATGGCAGTGCCATATCACCCCAACGTCTTCGCAGCTCCTGGTTGTTGACATGCTGCAGCTGTTGATCGAGCCGGGACACACCCAGAATGAACCTGAGAGAGCGGTGGTGGAAGTTGTTGATGGCAACCATGTTTCTCTTCAGCGGAGTCCAGCACTCACAGGCATAGAGCAATGTGGACAGAACGCAAACATCGTAAAGATGGCGATGGAAAGGTTTCGGTCAAGAAAGACACGGCGCATAAGGTCGAAAGCTGCCGCTGCCTTACCGAGTCTTCTGGCCACATATGCAGATGAGCGGGTGTCAGCAGTTATCACAGAGCCAAGATACACAAAGGAATTGACACTTTCGATCTCCTCCGGACCAACAAAGAGCGGAAGGCGGTCAGCACATGATAAATTTGCACCAACGGCCATGAACTTGGTCTTCGCTGTACTCAGAGTCAAGCCGAAGGAAGAAGCAACGTTGCTAACAGCTCCAAAGCCAGTTGAGCTGACTCACGGGATGGTGCAAGTAGTGCTGCATCATCTGCAAACTCCAGGTCGTTGACCGATGTCGTGCCAGTTTGACGGGTTCGCTTGGGAAATAGATTACCACTTCCATGGATTGAAGATATCAGGGACATACCGTTAACATCAGCTGCTGCTATAGCTGAACGCCATGCTTCCAACACAAGACCAAAGTACAGGTTAAACAACAGTGGGGCCATAACGCACCCTTGCCGCAAACCATTCTCAACCGAGATGCTCCCAGACACATCACCATCAACCCGAACAGCAGCCTGCATGCCTGAATGGAAGCCGTCAATCAGCTGGATGAGTGACCCAGGCACACCATACACCTCAAGGGCCAGCAACAGCGCAGCGCGTGGTACCGAGTCGTACGCCTTGCGGAGATCGATGAAAACGAGAAAGGCCTTACAGCGGTGCTCGAATGCCTTCTCGACTACCTGTCGCACGCACGCCCTTGCAAAGAAGGGCGTGCGGCGCATACACACACACACACACACACACACACACACACACACACACACACACACACACACACATGCACCTGCAGACACACGCCAGCTTCCCAGTTCTTTTTTGACGTTCTGATTTACCTACTTGAATTTCAACAGCGAATAAACCACAGCACAAGTGGGAATGTGGTGGGTGTCTTCTGCCTATACTTAATTATCTATTCAACTGAAGCTGCAGGAAGTGGCCAAATATATCTCAGAACTACCATCACGCACACACGCACGCGTGCATGTACGCATGCATGCACGTACCTATGCACACACGCATGCATGCACGCATGCACACACACATTAACTACAACACACAGCAACTTGCGGTACGGGGGAGTGCTGGCCAGCGGAGTGTGAGCCTTGTCGACTGCCAGAGCAGGATCTTGGCGGAGCCAAGAGAGTCTAGAAAGGTCTGAGGGACGACGACAGAGTGCCGTGACTACCCGGAAATGAGCGTTACTAACACCCCTTTTATTCACTTTGTCGACGCGAACTCGATCTTACGTAACGTTCGCGAATGCTAAAATACCTCAGTTTGAATGTTTCACGTCAATTTTCTCCTTTTTTGTCTATCGCCATATTTACCATGGCGATGTGCAGTGCTGGCAGTTTTGATGCGCATGCTTGATCCTTTGGCGATGATGTTATTGGCGGGCTGACTGCACTCGAGGAGTCTCACGTTTTTGTTGTAATGGTGCGTCTGATGACGATGAAGTCCAATCCTTCTTGTTCTGTGTCCAATGTCAGTAACAATTAATTCAGTAACGATAGAGCTACAATTGTAGAGCTCTCTCGACTCAGCGAATAGAATAACTTCAGTCAAACAGTATTTTGTGAGTGGCAATCAGGCGGGGAAATTCAAACTGTGTTTATGCCACCACAAGCGTCGAGCGAACGTCACATGACGCCCATGTTGAGCGCAACATACAAATGCCATGGTGAATGCCACGTCGCACTTCGCCAACACATTGAATGTCACATTTAATGACACGTAGAGTGTCACGTCACCTAGAGTACCCAGGCGCGTGCGCCGGTGCCGTTCAAGGGGGGGGGGGGTTCGGGGGCCTCCCCCCAGAAAAGTTTCAAAAAATGAAGCAAAATCCTGCATTTGAGCGAAAAAGGGGGGTTCCGGGCACCCAGGAACCCATATGGGGCACGCGCCTGGTACCACGCGTGCATGCACAATGTTGTTTGGCCGACATGGTCACTGTGACGTGCAGTGCACGCGACCGTAGACAGTAGCAAAGCATGAGTATACAGCAACAGCACTATCAAACATAGCAGCATAGCTTGAGCGGTAGCACGAAGCTACGTGCACCCATTAATCTGCATTATCACCACACACACACACACACACACACACACACACACACACACACACACACACACCTGCAGACCCAAATTTTGCATTGTGGTTTACCTCAGGTTTAGGAGGACTCTATCTGCGAGAGGAGATGTTCTCTCTCAAAGCACTGATTATGTCAGCTAGACTATGAGATGAGCCAACCGAACGTCAAGTCTAAAAAACAGCAGCAGAGGGGTCACCCACAAACACACAGACGCAGACACAGACAGACATACCATTGGGCCATCGGACGCCCATCGCCGGAGGCGATGATAAGGATGCTACAGCAGAAGCCATAGCAGCTTGTGCTGGGATTGCACCATTCAACAGCTTGCAAGCCTGAAGAATTGACCGCCACTATTCAGCCTGGTCTACACCATACAGCTATGAAGTGGCTTTTTCTGGCCAGTGAATCTCTACTTTTTGGTCTTTTTTATTTTTTTCCACGCACACACATCACACCACATACTCCGGCATGCACTGGCTGTTGGTAACCACCCAGGAGCAGTGATCTAGCCAAAGCCGGCTCAGCCGGCTGCCGGCTGGGAGGGCGACCTGCCGGCTGAGACAGCTCCAAGGGTAATTTTGGCCGGCTGCAGTCACCCCCATGTAGACTGTAGTGCACTGCACTAGCACTTGAGTCTAGATGGTGGAGTACAACCCATATCCTAGGCGTAGGTATGTACAGTACAGTACATAGCACTGGCTAATCAGGCTCAGTGCTAGCTCTTCACACAAGCTCAAATGCACTTGAGTATGCACTTGAGTACGTCAGTAAAATGTAACAGGTTGGGTCATGGTTCACTGCTTCTGGTGGTGTACACGGCTGTGGCTAGGCTGGGACTTGTCAGATGACCAATGTACACTGCATGCAGACATGACCTTGGTGAACACATGATCCATGCTCATGTAGCTGTTTGCTTCCTTTTCATATTTTGTTAATTTACCTATAATCACATTGTCACAACTGCCTGATGAATGCCCATAATTGGACGAAGCGAAAGGACATGCAAGCTGCAATGAAAGATTTGTAGTGGTGTGTGTGTGTGTGTGTGTGTCTGTGTGGATACGTGACTGATGGCGGGGGTCTGTGGGCGCAGCCCCCAGAACGATGCATTTTAACTAGAACGTTGGCCGGCTGGCATAAAATCCTGGCTAGACCTCTGCAGGAGAATGAAAGAAAAGTCAGGAAGAGTCTGAGAAAGAGAAGAAAGACGTGTGTGACCATAATCGTCGGGAATCGAACCCGCAACTTATCGATTGGAAATCGCTGCACATACCACTGCACCATATGGGACACCCACCCACACACACAAGACACACATACATACATACACACACACACACACACACACACACACAAACACACTCACACACAAACACACAAACACACATACACACACACAAACACACACATTCACACACACACACATGTGCTCGCACTCGCAAACGCACACACACACACACACACACACACAAACATACACACCCATACAAACACACACACATACACACACACGCAAACACATGTACACAAACAAACACACATACACACATACACACACAAACGCACTCACACACACACAAACGCACGCATGCATGCACACACACACACACACCTGTATGCGCACCTGCACACACACACACACACACGCGCACACGCACACACACACATACAGACACACACACGCGCACACTCACACACACACACACACACACACGAATATGGACACACATACACACATGTGCAGACATTAAATACAACACACAGAAACTTGCGGTACGGGGCAGTGCTGGCCAGCAGAGTGAGAGGCTAGACACAGAGAGATTCAGAGTCGGCCGGGTAGACACTGCCGGAGCAGAATCTTGGCGGAGCCAAGTATATACAAGAGACCAGTCGACTACCGGAGCAGGATCTTGGCAGAGCCAAGAGAGTCTAGATATGTCCGAGGGACGGCGACTGAGGGCCCTGAGTAGCCGGAAATGAGCATGGCCAACACCCTTTTTATTCACTTTATCAAAGTAAATGAGTGATGAGAAATGGGAGGTCGGAAGGTGAAACACAACGAGCAGACAAGAATGAACCACACACAGTACGGATCGAAATTTATAGCGACGCGAGCTCTAGCAAATCATGTCGAGCAAACGTCGAGCGAACGTCGCATGACGCCCACGTTGAGCGCATCACATATACCGTAAAGTCCGCTGCAAACGCCCACCCCAGCGGGTAACGCCCACCCCAGCGGGTAACGCCCACCCCAGCGGGTAACGCCCACCCCAGCGGGTAACGCCCACCCCAGCGGGTAACGCCCACCCCAGCGGGTAACGCCCACTTCTCTGCAAACGCCCACCCCAGCGGGTAACGCCCACCCCAGCGGGTAACGCCCACCCCAGCGGGTAACGCCCACCCCAGCGAGTAACGCCCACCCCAGCGGGTAACGCCCACCCCAGCGGGTAACGCCCACTTCTCTGCAAACGCCCACCCCAGCGGGTCGACGCCCACTTCGCTGCAAACGCCCACTTCGCTGCAAACGCCTACTTCGCTGCAAACGCCCACTTCGTTGCAAACGCCCACTTCGCTGCAAACGCCCACTTCGCTGCAAACGCCCACTTCGCTGCAAACGCCCACTTCGCTGCAAACGCCCACTTCGCTGCAAACGCCCACTTCGCTGCAAACGCCCACTTCGCTGCAGACCCCCACCCCAGCGGGTCCATACTATTTTCGTCCTTTTCAGGTCAATATAGTTGTAGAAAACTGGCATTAAGGTTGAATGTGTACGAGAACGACTATAATGCCTACAAACTGGATATGTCTTACCAAGAGGCTCTACAAAAGCGATTGTCATTATCTTGCTGCAAAGAAAAAAACTTCAGTCGAGATTTCCTTTCATACGATTGTTAGGTACCTCCTCCCGTACCTTTTCTAGCTGGCCTGCATGCACTTGCGTACTCACCTTTTGTCTCCTTTTGTTCCGTTGGCCTGGGTAGCTACTTGCGCGCCCATATTTGCCATAGCTACCCAGGCCCTTCATCTTGCCGTTCAGACTTGCTCTCATTCTCTCTTTTCTCACTCTTCAATGTAGTCGTTTAGTTCGTCTTGGTCTCTTGTCTCGTCGTCTATAATAAATGTCGTTCCCCCAACCTACCTGTTCCCGTTGTAATGTCTGGATAATGTGTCGTCAGTTGTCCTGTTTCGAACTCAACATTGGCGCCCGATTATTGATCAACCCACGACCCTGAGATCATCCCATGCCCAGTCGTCCTCAACCGCCATTCGTCTCGTCTATGTCAACCTCGTCTCGTCCAGGTCCATCTCGTCTCGTCTCCAACCGCGTCTCGTCTATCAACCTCGTCTCTCCTACGCCAACCTCGTCTCGTCTATGTCAACCTCGTCTCGTTTCAAGCCATGCAGGTCAGCTACCTTTCTCTCTTTCTTTTTTTGTATGCGTTCCTTCTTCGTCAAATTTATTTTCGTGAATTTTTTGTAGTGTGTGTGCGCGCGGGTGTCCTTCATTAATATTAGGGGTCCGATCATGGTGAGCCACGCTCTCTTATTTATGTCGTATATTGAAGAGTAACTAGGCTCTATTAGCCGTGCACAATACTAGTCATCAGAATACAATTCAAGTCCCTCGTCGAACTCCAATAGTTATTTTTGGTGCCATGTTTTGAAGGGGCGTTTGGGCCCGTTGTTATTGGCAATGTACATGTACACACTATAGTATAAGTAGTACAGGAACGTTGACGCTTGTAATGATCTGTAGTGCATTTTTTAGTACACACTTTTGTGAGGCCCGTGCGTTGTGTGTGTGTGTTTTTTCTCCTTCAGTCATTTTTTTAAATCTTTTTCTCTCTTTTTTTCTCTCCGCGAGGACGCGGGATTTTTTTCATGGAGGGGTGGTATGTTAGGTACCTCCTCCCGTACCTTTTCTAGCTGGCCTGCATGCACCTGCGTACTCACCTTTTGTCTCCTTTTGTTCCGTTGGCCTGGGTAGCTACTTGCGCGCCCATATTTGCCATAGCTACCCAGGCCCTTCATCTTGCCGTTCAGACTTGCTTTCATTCTCTCTTTTCTCACTCTTCAATGTAGTCGTTTCGTTCGTCTTGGTCTCTTGTCTCGTCGTCTATAATAAATGTCGTTCCCCCAACCTACCTGTTCCCGTTGTAATGTCTGGATAATGTGTCGTCAGTCGTCCTGTTTCGAACTCAACACGATGAATGAGTTGTCTTTGTTATTAGTTCGTTCTTCATGAAGTAATGCCGTAGAATCCATCTGGTTTTCAAATCATAAAATTTCTGCATTGCCACGATGTCGCGCTTTCAGAATGGAACGGTGATTGTTCTGACGAAGCGTCATTCAACGACTTGACCGGTCGCAGTATTGCAGTTGCAAGTCGAACAGGGGGGGGGGGGGGGGGATATCACAGAAGCTACACCTACAAAGTCGCTGCTAACTTGTTGAAAACTCTGAAGTGCTCGAGAAAAACCCTTGCCATTGCGCTTTGCGTGATTTGGAAATGATGGCTTGAAACACCGTCAGAAGTGTATTTGGTTCCTGCAATAGTCTGTTCTTCGCTACCTCACCTGTTTATTCCGAAGCAACTCCCGTTTGGATTTTCGAAATTTAACAACCAACATCATAAAATCACTAGGAGCTAGCTCGTAACTAGTGCCCAAAAACATTTTGAAACCCAGAAAATGGACATAGTTTACCGTAGCAAAGCATTCCTCGCGCTACGGTGCGAGATGCACTTTCGTACAGTAGGGGTGAAAGTGCATGGGGTCAGTGCATATAGGCCAGCAGATCTTGCAAAAATGGGGTGGGCGTTTGCAGCGGACTTTACGGTATATGCCATGGCAAATGCCACGTCGCACGTTGCCGACACGGTGAATGTCACGTTCAATGGCACGGAGAGTGTCACGTCACCTAGAGTACCACGCGTGCATGCACAATGCTGTTTGGCCGACTTCGTCACTGTGAAGTGCAGTGCACACGACCGTAGACAGTAGGAAAGCATGAGTATACAGCAACAGCAAACATAGCAGCATAGTTTGAGCGGTAGCACGAAGCTGCGTGCACCCATTAATCTGCCTAATTATCACCATAATGATACACACACCATTGGACCATTGGACGCCCATCGCCAGAGGCGATGATAGCGATGCTACAGCAGAAGCCATAGCAGCTTGTGCTGGGATTGCACCATTCAACAGCTTGCAAGGCTGAAGAATTGACCACCACTATTCAGCCTGGTCTACTCCACACAGGTATGAAGTGGCTTTTCTGGCCAGTGAATCACTACTTTTTTTTCACGCACACATATCACACCATATACTCCGGCATGCACTGGCTGTTGGTAACCACCCAGGAGAATGAAAGAAAAGTCAGGAGGAGTCTGAGAAAGAGAAGAAAGACGTGTGTGACCATAATCGTCCGGAATCGAACCCGCAACCTATCGATTGGAAATCGCTGCACATACCACTGCACCATATGGGACACACACACACACACACACACTTGTACTTGTGCTTGTTGCTCACTGCCAAAACTGGTCATGTGGGTCTCCCCGGGAGAGGGAAGAGAGACTCAAAAGGAATCTTGGAAAGATGACTCAATTGGCTATTGAACCGCCCAACAGCCGACACCCCCTCAAATCCCCAAAACTCTGGGTGGACTTGAAAATGATCCCACTTATGGGCTCACCACACCTCAGTAAGTGGGTAAGGACAAGGTGCAGAAAAAGGATTGACGGCATCAGAGTATACGTCCTGGGATCCAACTGCAGTTACCTCTGACCCCAGTGAAGGTAATACTTGCTACTAGTGTGGGTGACTAAATCAGAGTGGATCTGATATAAGCTTCACTAGCACCATTGATTACCGAACTAGCTGACACACATACACACACACCCGCGCGCTCGCGCGCCCACGCACCTGCAGACCCAAATTTGCATTGTGGCTTACCTCTGGTCTAGAAGGACTCTATCTGCGAGAGGAGATGTTCTCTTTGAAAGCACTGATCGAAGTATGTCAGTTAGACTATGAGATGAGCCAACCGTACACCAAGTCTAAAGAAAAGCAGCAGATGTATAACACAGAAACACACACACATACACACGAACCCGCAATCTATCGATTGGAAATCGCTGCACAAACCACTGCACCATATGGCACACACACACACACAAACACACACACAAACACACATACACATACACATAACACACACACACACACACACACACACACACACACCATTTGACCATTTGACGCCCATCGCCGGAGGCGATGATAGCGAATGCTACAGCAGAAGCCATAGCAGCTTGTGCTGGGATTGCACCATTCAACTGCTTGCAAGGCTGAAGAATTGACCGCCACTATTCAGCCTGGTCTACACCGCACAGTTATGAAGTGGCTTTTTCTGGCCAGTGAATCCCTACTTTCGGATCTTTATCTTTTTTGCTTTTTTTTCACACACACACATCACACCACATACTCCGGCATGCACTGGCTGTTGGTAACCACCCAGGAGAATGAAAGAAAAGTCAGGAGTAGTCTAAGAAACAGAAGAATGACGTGTGTGACCATAATTGTCGGGAATTGAACCCGCAACCTATCGATTGGAAATCGCTGCACATACCACTGCACCATATGGGACACACACAAACACACACACACACACACACACACACACACACACACACACACACAACGCATGACTGCATGCACACAAACATGTACGCGCACACGCACGCGCACACACACACACACACACACACACACACACACACATATAAACTACAACAAAATGCGACTTGAGCTACGAGGGAGTGCTGGCCAGCGGAGTGAGAGGCTACATAGAGAGAGATTCAGGGTCGGCAGGGTGGACACTGCCGGAGAAGAATCCACGAGAGACTTGTCAACTGCCGGAGCAGGATCTTGGCAAAGCCAAGAGAGTCTGACACTTGTCGACCGCCGGAGCAGGATCTTGGCGGAGCCAAGAGAGTCTAGAAATGTCAGCAGGACGATGACCCATAGCCCTGAGTGTCCGGAAATGAGCGTGGCCAACACCCCTTAGCGCTTGCACCCGAATGCATCAGAACAGTGTATAGGAAATGGGAGAGCCAAGTGACTACATGCAATGGAAAGTCACAGAGCAAAGCTGCATGCATACCCACGTATTCTCACAACACCGCACAAGGATGATTGGGGTACACCAGTGTGCTGGTTTCGATCAACTGGTGAAGCGATTGGCGTTGCAAACAGCCAAAGTGATCGCTCACGACTGAGCCGCAGCAGTACCCGCGACCGGGTGCAAAGTTCCCTGATCGACGTTGCAAACAGCCAACCAGGGTGAAGCAGTTGGCGTTGCAAACGGCCAAAGCAATCGCTCATGCTTGAGCGGCAATAGTACCCACGACCGGGTGCAATGACTACTGATTGGCGTCGCAAACAGCCGACCAATAGTATGCAATTTTAAGCAGAGATAGTAGCAGCAAAGCAACCAGTTGAAGGAAGCTGTTCCCAGAAAACCAGCACACGGCACCCCAGCAAGCGTTCACCACCAATGCACGAGAGCTCAGAACAAGTGAATTAAGGCACGAGATGGATAAAGGTAGGCATGCAGATGGATGAAATCCAACGCAGGTTCTCAATACGACAATTTAGCAATGACAATCGGTACCTGTATGTCAAGGCTATATTGCATCGACTGGAATGGCAGCACTGCTTGGTCTGGTTGTGCTTGAGCAGCTGGGGCGAGACGCCGAAATTCCTCCATGCGGAAACGAGACAGCGAATCGGCAATGCAGTTAGACTGGCCAGCAATGTGAGCAGCAGCGACGGTGGAATTGAAGCGGGCGCACACAAAGAACAGCTCCCTGATCAGGGTCATCACTGGCGGTGACTTGGATGTGCCGGAGCGGATGCAATCTACCACAGCCTTGTTGTCACAGTGCATTGTGATACGAAGCTGGCGCCATTCCTTGCCCCACGTGCAGCACGCTGTGACCAACGCGTAGAGCTCCTTCCACTCAATGCTGTGAGCGAGTTGCTCAGACGACCAGGTCCCTTGAAGCCAGCGGCCGCTGTTGAATGCGCCCCAGCCCAGGGTGCCACTGGCATCAGTGAACAGCTCCAAGTCTGGAGATGGTGTCCAATCTGGGAACAGGAAGAATGATTTTCCGTTCCATTCTTCCAGGAGCCGTAGCCACCATTGGATATCTTCCTGGCACTCGGTAGTCAGACTGATGCGGTAGTGAGGCTGCTGGTAGCGACTGCAAATAGACCACAGGCGCCGCATAAATGTCCGACCGGGTACGATGACTCTTGCAGCGAAGGAGAGTTTCCCCAGAAGAGATTCGAGTTCGAGGGAGACATGGTAGGGTTGATGCTCGCTGCAGTCAACAGGCGCTTGATGTCAGCCAATTTGTCGTCAGGGAGCCGGGCTTCCATCTTCTCACAATCCAGGATAATGCCCAGGAATGTCAGGGTACGAGACGGGCCTTCCACCTTCGCAGGCGCGAGCGGGACTCCGAGGTATGAGAATGCACGGAGAAGAATGGCCAGCTGCCGATTCGCCACTGCCTGGCCCACGCTCACGCACAAGTAGTCGTCCAGGAAATGCAGCAATTTAGGGATGGAGAATTCGTGGTGCATTATCCATTCGATGGTGGCTGCCACTGCATCAAATACCGCTGGGCTAGAGCGAAGCCCAAATGGCAAGACACGGTCGTAGTAGTACTTACCCTGCCACAGGATGCCGAGGAGTTGCCAATCCTGTGGGCGGACAGGTATTTGACGAAAAGCGCTCTTCACATCGAGTTTAGAGAGATAGACAGGAGACGGGGAGGACATAATGATGCTAATGGCTTCATCAATGCTGATGTACTGCAAAGAGAAAGGTTCGGCAGGGATCCCGTCGTCAACGCTGGAGCCGGCAGGGCTGGACAGGTGGTGTATCAAGCGTAGCTTGCCATTCTTTTTCGGAACGGCGCCAATGCCAGAGCAGTACATAAATGAGAATGGGGGCGAGTCAAATGGGCCAGCCGTGTAGCCGGCGTTGCAGGAAGCGGTGAGCTGTGCAGACACAAATGCAGAGTGCTGGAATGCTGATGAGAGGTTGGACTAGTGTTGGTTAGTTATGCGGTTGCCGGTAAAGCCAATGTCAAAGCCGCAGCGGAGGCCGTTAATAACATACGAAGCCAATGAACTGTCAGGGTGGTTACGAAGCAGTGATTCGAAGCGAGAAACAGAGAGGGCGTGTGGACAGCAGGACATGCGCTTGTGAAATCAGTAGAACGTGAAGTGCAGGGAGAAATATGTACAATCGCGGGAGCTGCAGCCAAAGCAGCACAGTTACTGGCGCCTACCGCACTTAGATTCGTTGTGGTCCTTGGACCCGCAGCGGGTGCAGACATGGGCGTACTTGCACCTGCTGAGACTGCAACGCCCAGCGTTGAAGTTCCGGCAGATCGGTTGGCCATTAGACACCGTACGGACCCCATTGAAGGCTTGCTGGTTGTTACGTTGCGGAGAAAGGGACACTGGCCGCCTCCGGGATGGACGAGGCGGCAGGACTCACATGTGGGCCTTGATTGGCTAGTCACGGACATTTGCCACAGATTGATGTCGATGACGTCAAAGCGCTTGCCTGGCTGAGCAGAAATGGCAGAGCGAAACTGGGTGTCGTACGACAGCCAAGCCTCCGGATAGTATTGCCTGTTGGCTGCAACAATGGTGGCTTGGTATGAGAGCATCTCCTGCAGGCGGGTTGGCAGAACACACGATGTTCATGAAGAGAGTCCATGCCTCCAGCCATGTCGGCAAGTCGTGGAAGCGTCGACGAACGGGCTGGGCAGCTCCACCTTCCACCACCTGTATACCAAAACATAAATACGCACCATAGCAGCAGCACCAGCAGCAGCAGCAGCAGCGGGGAAAGAGACACCTACAATACGGAGGATTAGCAAGACGAAATTCGCATTCGTGTTCACGAACATTTTTCGGTTCGCAAACTGGATTGCAAACTTTCGCATTTTTCGTTTGGAAAAGTAGTCGAAACACAAATCGCGGATTCGTGTCAGGACAGTCATCAATTTACAATGCCGTACTGTCTGTGAGCAATGTACGACGTGTCAACGTCATGCATGTGTGAATTCTGTTTGCTAATCCTTCTCAATGCAAAATTCCATTACTGAGTTCGACTTTGCTTGGAGTGCGAACACGAACGCGGATTCCGTCTTGCTAATTCTCCGTAGTGTCATGATGTCATGATAGAAGAACAGTTACAGCCTGGTACATGTAGATAGAAAGCTTTTCCAGTTCTCAACGCTAGTGCTCAAAAGAATACACCGAGTACTCGAGTACACGCTCGCTGAGTACTTGACTTGAATTCAAAAGGGGCTCGATACTCGATAGCATACACGTATAGTAGAGGAATGTATGCTGTCATGACTTTTTTGTGCAGCACAAACTGACAAAGTCTATTTATGTAGTTCCTCTCGACGAAGTCAGAGCCAGGCGCGTACGCAGGGGGGGGTTCCCGTTGCCCGTAAACCCCCCAAATGTTCCAAACGAGCAACGTTTTTGGGCATTTATTGGTAGGGCGCATGATCGATCTGGCAAGAATGCAAAACTTCAAAAGATCGTAACTCAGTCAAATCTCGCTCAAATCCAACGATCCAAATATCCAGGTCGAATAGAAAACTCTCAGCTGTCGGTTGAAACAATTTGTGAAGCGCTGCGGGCAATGTATCGTGAGATAAATCATTCCTAAATTGAGCCGCGATCTTGGCAATTTCAAAAGCGCGCAGTGCGACTTGAGAATCGAGAATTTGAGATTTTCGTCACGCTGATTTGCTCAAATTTGCAGGGGCTTCCCTTGTGATATTTTCAAGAGTACACAGGAAAAAGTCGAAACTCTGCGATCAAGAAAAACGAAATCGCTGGAGCAGGACGCGTTTGGGCCTGTTTGGGGCATTTTTCGCACCGTCGCTGCACTCTACCGCTATAGCCTATAGCGCTGGATATGTATATGACTGTACTGTGTCCTGGCTATCATGGTCGACCTCATTCTCTCCCTGATACCTTTCCACTTCCAGGAAGCCCAATATAATGAAGATTGAGTGAGTAGAACTGAAGTTATGATCCAAACAACACGAAAAAATGCATAATTTTGAAAATTTCCTGCGGCTCTTTAGGAAGGGTTAAAACTAACACACTTACACACACTTTGTTACTGGTTGTTTGGGATTCGGTTGGAAACCCCCCTAGAGGTGACCCTGCGTACGCGCCTGAGAGCTGTGCCTCTATTACTGGAAGTGTTTAGCTATGTAGATGCAAGTGAAAGAGAGAAAAATCAGTCCGAGAGATGTCACTGACTTTGGGCGAAACTTGACCTGCCCTGTACAATGAACATGTGTGCTCAATTTGAAGCTAAAGTTGGCGTGCTGGGAATGTGCACATTAGAGCGACTAGGTTGTGTTATAGGGTACTCAACTCGATAGTGGCACTACTCGTTCGATAGCATAGAGTGCTCGTTTGAGCACTACTCAAAACCTTGGCAATGTACATTTAGATACTTGGTCAGCATCAGCAATATTGTCGCTTATCTTTCGACAATTTGAAATTAGACTTTGGACAACAACGTGTGCACTTGAGGTGATAAAACGTGGTACGATAGAAGGTAAGGTATAGAATGACAACTAGCCATGAGGAATGTATTGTCCAAGGAAGTGTTCATACTTTTGTTGGTCCTCCTCGTCGCTGCTCTCGGCTCTGGATTGCTCTCTCGCTTTTGCAAGCTCATCTCTATTCCTCTCCGCTGCCTGGCTACTTTCTAAAGGGAAGTCGATCGTGACGGTTGCCTTCTCTATATGACTTCGCGTGGGCAACACGACTACCTGTGTGGTTCAAATCAGTCGCCGTTCTTTGCAAGATTTTATATTGAACGACGACGACGCGTACAGTACTGAGTAAATCTCCACGGGCGCTGGATACTCCGAGCGTTGAGCTGGAGGTGAGGGAACTACGATCTCAGCTTGTCGAGCGATCCCCGAGGTGAGCCTTCTCAGCCGTTTTGCAAAATGGAACTGATTTCGAGTATAGTAGCCGATTACTTTATTGTGCGTCGCGCTGCTCTTACCTGTGCAGTGTGACAAGAAAATATATTTTATGCGGCGTGGTATCAATCAGAATCACCCACCCGTCGCTCTCGAAATCAACTCCAAATCTAGCTAGACCTTTCAGGTACTAGTAAACTAACTTACTAACCATTAATGGGATGAAATGGGCTGCCAAGTGAGCATCCCCGACATATAAACCAAGCTGAAAGATAAGCGACAATAATATTGATGACGCGGACCAAGTAGAATCTTTCTCACTACTCAAAACCTTGGGGGTGTACACGTACTCTGGAGCTGGACGCCAGATGGGACGCAAGGCAAAGAAGGACGCATACATCACGCTGAAGGTTCCTAAGGACACCTTTCCCGGTCCCTACCATGCCGGCTCATTAATCCCTCAAAGAGTGAGATTGGCATAGTCTCCAAGTCCATACTCGATACCGCTCTAAAACAGCTCCGCCCCCAGCTGCAGATCAATGCATGGAGGAACACGGCAGTGGTGATAGAGTGGTTCACAAGTACAGTCAACTTGGCTAATAACGACTGCGGATATAACGACAATTCGCGAATAACGACAGAATTTCCATGCCCAGAGCAAAGTCCCATCTAACTGTATACATTTAATTTCGGATACAACGACTATCTGAATAACGACAATTCGTGAATAACAACAAGCTTTTAGTGCCCCGAGGTCATATCCACTGCTTGAATAACGACTTTCTGGGCTTTTGACAGCTACTTCAAGTACCTGTCATGCAGAAGTACCAGAACCCATGGCGATGGATAAAGGTACACATGCAAGAAGATGCAGCCAAGGGGGGTGGGGGGTGCTTTTATTATTGTTACTTTTTGCTTCTACATGTAAATACATGCAGTTGTAGTGATCGGCACAGCTACATATACATGTAGTTGTATGGTGTACATGATTGTACAGTAATCATCATAATTATATGTACAGTACATGTCCCTGTATATGTACAGTACATGTCCCTGTATATGTGTAGGACTCAGTATAGAGTCCATGCACTATATGATGTCCAGCACCCTATATAGAGTCCATTGGTCCAAAATCCACTATACAGAGTCCAGGAGTCCACTCAGTTTTGATCAGCTTCAACCTGCCGCGCAATCCCCTATAAGGAGTACACTTTTTCTACCAGTCCCCTATTCACAGTCCAGGAGTCCAGTTTTATCCAGTCACGCTGTCCTGTGTGTTGTGCCCGAAAAAGAACAATTCATTTTCAGTTTTGCTTGCCTGGTGGCAGCGCATTCCTTTCTTCACTTCAGCCATGGCTGCCAGTTCTGCTGTGAAGTTGCTGACAGTAATCTGTCACGAGGTAACCAAGGAGGATAAGGAGACGTTCAAAATCAAATCTGGAAAGCGTCTTGTGGTTCTCTGAAGACGTTTCATCAGTGCGCGGGATGACAGCAGAAATTGCAGAACGAGAAAAGTTCAGCACAGTTCAAATCTGACGAGTCAGGTACACTGACACTCTCTTTCGTTCGACGCCACAAGGATCCCCTGTTAGGCTGGCCATTGCTGCCAGTACGACGTTTGAACGGTTTCATCAGAGCGAGGGATGAAAGCAGAAAGCGGAGAAAGAGAAAAGTTCAGCACAGTTCCAATCTGACGAGTCAGATACACTGACACTCTCTTTCGTTCGACGCCACAAGGATACCCCTGTTTGACTGGACAAGAGCTGCCTGTACCACCGTGTCAAAAGGCTGTCCAACTACATGGCAGGACGATGACTGAGGTAAGGAAGCTTTTACTCGTTTCGATTGGTCTGCTCACGGTTCTGTCGTTATGCTTGAATTTTTTTTCCATTTTCAAGGAGCGTATCGCGTTTGTTTGATGTTGCTTGAATGAATGCCCTAAAAGTAATCAACCACTTCGTAATAGTCCTCAAGGACTGCAAGGACTTTGCATCAATCGTATACGATCGTCTAGCTATCATCAATTATTATAATTATTTCATGAGAAATGTATTTTTATCCCTGTGATAATTATGTGAAACTCCACGACACTCTTCCTCTAGTATGATGTCAAATACAATGGGATCCACAAACGCAGTGCCAGTGTACTAGTAGTAGTAGGAGGATTGCTTGTATGCCAATGACAAGAAAAAGCTTCTCCCTGAAGTAACCGTTTTGATGTCACGAACATGACATTGTGTCAGTGAAACTGCCTCGTGACAACAAATCATTGCATTTCCATCTTGGGGAAGACTGACTGACGGCAACGCTGTACAGATTGTTCAAATCATCTCATTTCAATTTAGTTGCAGTGAAGTGAAACACTGTGTACACTACAGGTATGGTGGTGTGTCTGTGCGTCTTGAGTGTGCACAAACGATCTTATTCCTCGTATTACTAATAGATTATTGTCCCCTCCGTCACCTGTTCACAGGTCTTTGAGTGGATTGATTTTCATTGAGCCTCACATTCGTTGAGAACTTGGTAGTTGTGTGCTCCCGTGCATCATTACGGTAATAAGCGTATCCTTGTGCTATCTATTTGTTGCAGGTGTGCTGATTTTCAGAAGCTTGCGGAACTGAGTGCTGCTGAACATTTGCATGGCCATGAGCAATGGTGAAGCTTGCTATTGCACTCTCAGCATGTGCTAGTATTATGCTGACTACTGCACTATGTTACTCTCTTACACTACTACATGTATGTAAACGTGCGTGCATCCGCCCAGGTATGCATTCGTTTCGTATAATTATTTGTTATCCCTCTTGACTTTACTTGTAAATGGGTGGACGTTTGCATGGCTGTTGGAGTTGCGTGTGTATGGTGTCTCTACTCTTTTTTTGGTGTTTTCTTGACGTTGTACAAGTTTGTGTGTGTGTGTGTGTGTGTGTGTGTGTGTGTGTGTGTGTGTGTGTGTGTGTGTGTGTGTGTGTGCGCGCGCGCGCGCGCGCAATAATTTGAAAACAAATAATTCAACCTGGGCTCTCCATTATTCTCTTTCGATTCTTGTTTTTTTCTAGGCATTTTCTTGGCGTTGTGTGGGTGTGTGCATGTGTGTGTGTGCGTGCACAATTATTTGGCAACACTACATGATTGAGATATTGTAATTTGCAGCGTCTGCGAAGAGACCACTTGATTTGAGGATGGTGTTTGTAGGCTTTTTTATGTAATGAAGTGGCTGCAGTGGCGCCTCAATACATATTTTTACATTGAGAAGTGAGTGATGTAAAGGATTAAAGGGAGAGGCCGTTTTCTGGTTATATTCACTGCTTACAGCAGATCCTATGTCTAATTTCGAACTCGATAGGGGATGCCTAATTGGCTGGACTTTATACAGGGAGTGTTGTCCACATAAGACTCTTTAATCTTTATAGTTGATTTCAAAGTTTGGACTCCGTACGGTTGATTTTGAACCAATGGACTCTATACAGGGAGTGATGTCCATCTAAACTTTGAGCTCACAGTTGATTCCAAGTTTGGACTCTGTACAGTGGATTTTGGACCAATGGACTCTATATAGGGGTTGGACATCATATAGGGGCTGGACGCTCTACTGAGTCCAACATATGTACAGTACATGTCCCTGTATACGTACAGTACATGTCCCTGTATATGTACAGTACATGTCCCTGTATACGTACAGCACATGTCCCTGTATATGTACAGTACATGTCCCTGTATACGTACAGTACATGTCCCTGTATATGTACATGTAGATGGCTCCAAAGGCCAACTTTTCAATCTATTTCCCTTCCATATTGACTTTATAGTTCCTTTCAATTGTAATATGAAAATAAAGTACATTTTGACATAGACCATGAAAAGAGATTCGTTTTGATATGCATATCATACTATACAACAATATGGGTTCACATACATTCAAATGGGACTTCGGGTATAAGGACACTTTGCGAATAAGGACACTTTTCGGATGCCCCGCCGAATGTCGTTATTCGCAAAGTTGACTGTACACCAGAAAAAGAAAAGTACATATTTGTGAGCTTTGACTGTGTTGATTTCTACCCCTTAATCGATTATACCGGATACTCGAAATAGATTTCGTTACAAGCTAACAAATTGATTATTGGAAACGTTTCGATTACTCAATTGTGCATACAGTATACATGATTATACACGTATGATTGTAGATAGACCAATGTGCGAGGAAAAATTCTCTTCTCCCCAGGATCTATT